GTGTGTGCGTGCGTGTGTGCGTGCGTGTGTGTGGCTTGCTTTAGAGTATCTCCTTTGGTTCTGTGTGCGTGTGCGTGCGTGCGTGTGTGCGTGTGTGTGGCTTGCTTTAGAGTATCTCTTTCGGTTCCGATCTCGGATCAGCGTAAGTAAGGTAGGCCTGGGCTGGGAGTGGAAAAGGCTTTCCAGAGTCACTGGCACTGAGGGCACATTTGACACCGTCTTGCTTCCTGGCCTCTGCCTGGTAGCACTGCTCCCACCGTGGGTGCCCTGCCCTGCCCGCTGCCGCCCTGCTGCCTCGGGACGGGCTCTCGTGCACTGTCTGGCTGCTGCCCCTGCCGGAGGCTGTTTGTGGTAACACACCTCCCTGTGGGCAGAGTGGGTGTGGGTTGTCCTTTTGTGTACTCATAAGACACCGGCCGCAGGCTGCTGGCCGTCCTAGCGGTTGGCTGCCCTGGGAGGGGTGTGGATACTCTGTGGGGAGCTGGCACTGGGGGGGCTCCCCATCTCCCCAGAGGCCATTCAGTTCTTCGCTTGCAGACATGTGTGACTGGAGAAGGGTTACCTCCCTCTTCCCACATGTCCATTTTTACCTTCCAGCTTGTGGGTAAAAGAAGCCGCGCCTAACTGAAGTCAGCACCGGGACACAGAGCTCGTCGCCTCCTTGGGACACCTCCGTACCCAGGACATTTCTTCTTTCTTCCTCGCTTCCCGCTCCCCTTCTGCAAGTGCTGGCGTTTGGGAAGGCTCTCACAGATCACTCACCTTCTTCTCAGGCTCCTTTAGACATGCTGAGGGGTGTGAGCCGCCCGTTCCCCACGGGGCGCCTTGCTCTGGCTCGGGGTGTCTGCGGTAGGCACGGTCAAGGCAGGGTGGAGGAGGCTGTCTGCAGGCTTTCTTGGAGGTTCTGAAAAACTGCCCAGATGACGGAGCAGAACAAGCTCACCGTTTGCTGTAATCAACAGGAACATGGGTGTCGGGCATTTCCAGGTGGGGCAGAGCTCACTGGGCTTCCTCTCCTATTTTCCTTTGGCGGATATAACCACAGCAGTCCAGAGAGGGGCTGCGCCTCCCTTGCTGAGATGCTCCGTGCCGGCTCCCCAGCTGGTCAGGGTAGCGGAGTCGCTTTCCTCCTGCAGCTCTGTGGGTGGCAGGCCCGAGCCTGCTGCCCTGCACCCCATGCCTCCCCGTGGGGGCGGCAGGAAGTCTCCAGGGTGTGGGAGGCTCAAGCGCAGGATACCAGGATGGACTCAAGACCAAGTTTGTTTGGATTCCAGGAGCAAAACGAGACCTTTCCTGATGTCTCCTTGCTCAAGTAAGGGAGAAAAGTCCTGTTTTGTGTTTCTCTCCAAAAATATCTAAATGAAGGGAGAGAAAGATTCACAGCCTTATTTTTTAGACCAAGGAGAACTGCCAAGACCTCCGGACACTGCCTTTTGTGGCCTTGTGTTCTGCTCCTTTGGGCACCGGGTCGGGGGAACGTGTGCTGTGTTCCCAAAGACAGCGGGGCGGTTCAGGAGGAGGGGACGTGGAAGGGGGCAGCGCTCGTGGGTGCCACGGAGGTGACGTTTGTCCTGAGCTGCCCCAGAATGAGCAGCTGAGTGCCGCAGAGAAGCCTGGGCCGAGCCGGCGCCCTGGTCCTGTGGGGCAGTGCTCTGCAGGGACACAACGGGGCCTGGGGCCTGTGTGAGACCAGTGCCGCTCCTGTCGTGTCCTAATTTGGTGGGAAATACATGTTTTTCAGGCAGATGGCCAAAAATACATGGGAGAAAAGAACCGTGCTTCTCTCCAGGCATAGGTTAAGTGATGTCGGCATAGTGTGTGAAATTGGTATCTGAATATGTCGTAAAATTGTACAGTGTTTCCCCATTTTCTGGGGTGAAATGCGTATGCTTGGTGGCCTGGACTTCCTGTTTCCTCTGCTCACCAGGTCTTACCTACTTGAGAATGGCCTGTGCTTATGTAGGAGAGAATTACCCAGTGGGGAGACCTTGCTATCCAAGAATTAGGGCAGACTTAACGCATCACGAATCTGCCCCAAGGGTTAGTAATTGGAATTTTGTAGTCCATGCTGCAATTTGACTTGCATCTATTTGGTGTAGTTTTCCCCAAAGTGCAAGGCAGTGCTACAGATGATTTTTAGTGGTACTGCAAAGCCGCAGTTTTTCATATTGCATCATGGTGGGAGAATTGTCCTTTTCCTCCAGATTTTATTCATTTTGTGTTGCCTTCTGTAAAACTTTGCACTACTACATTGTATTTATGTTACATTCATCTTCTGTTTCTGGTGGTGACAATAGCTTTATATTCATGTTAGTAATTTAAACAATTTGCTTCCTTTAAAAACAAATCTTACTCAAATTTGTAATAGTCATTTTAAAGCAAGAGGCAAATAATAAGGAATACAGGGGCTGTGCCAATACGGCAGAACTTGTGCAGCGGGCTAGGGACGGCTGGTTAGTATTGGTGTACTGTGCTAAAGTAGCGGGG